AGAAAAGGGGGGCGAGATTGGTTTAATGTGGACCATTAATCTTGGAATTTTCAATTTTGTTCCCGGAGGATTTGCCAATCTCTTAACTGGAAATTCCAACATTCTCCCACTTGATCCAAGCGTTTTACCTAATCTCTTAACTTAATCCCATTCAATATAGTCCTTAAGAAACAAATACATGAATCATGGCGATAATTTCTGTAATGATGATTATTACCTTCCATGTATTACAATGTATCTAATTTTCAAGGTATTATTCTTCATGTGGCAACTTTTACTTAATGAATACACCTTATGTTTATTTTTGGTCCTATAAAGATACATTTTCTCAAATAATTAAAGCGTGCATGAAATGAGAAAATATCACAATAAATAAGAATTTCATTGAAATAACATTATTTACACAATGAAAAATTACATAATGGAACCAAGTCCCATTGACACTACATGATCCTTGAATTTTAGCAATGGCATGCCCTTAGTCAAAAGATCAGTGATCATCAAATCAGTGCTGATGTGCTCAATGACCACTTTCTTTTCCTTAATACGTTCCCTTATGGCTAAATACTTGATGTCGATGTGCTTACTTCGACTTCTATTTTTTTATTCTTAGCCATAAAGACAGCAGATGAATTATCGTAATATATTCTCAATGGCCTAGAAATAGAATCCATGATTCTAAGCCCAGATATACGACTCTTTAACCATACACCATGTGAAGTAGCCTCAAAACAAAAAACGAACTCAACTTCCATAGTTGAAGTAGCAGTCAAGGTCTGCTTAGCACTCTTCCAAGATACAGCCCCATCAGCCATCATATAGATGTATCCTGATGTTGATTTGCGTGAATCAACATAGTTAGCAAAGTCTGAATCTGAGCAGCCAATTACTTCCAAGTTGTCCGTTCGTCTATACATAAGCTTGTAGTCCTTTGTTCCTTGAAGGTACCTTATTACTTTCTTTACAACTCTCCAGTGGTCCATACCTGGATCCCTCTGGTATCGTTCCAACATTCCCACAGCAAATGCCATGTCAAGTCTAATGTAGACCTGGGCATACATCAAGCTTCAAACAGTAGAAGCATATGGAATATTCTTCATTTGTTCTCTTTCAAAATTATTTTTCGGGCATTGATTCAAATTGAATTTATCACCTTTAACAATGGGAACTGCACTTGATGAACAATCTTTCATCCGAAATCTCTCTAAAACTTTATTAATATAGGTTTTTAGAGACAAACCTAAAATACCTTTAAATCTATCTCTATGAATCTTAATGCCAATGACATAAGACGTCTCTCCCATATCTTTCATGTCAAAATTTTAGAGAGAAATTGTTTCACTTCATGTAACAAACCCTTACCATTGGTCACAAGTAGAATGTCATCCATATATAAAATAAGAAAACAGATCTTACTCCCACTGACCTTCTGATATATACATTGATCCATGATGTTTTCTACAAATTCAAATGAAGAAATTACATCATGAAATTTGAAATACCATTGACGAGGCATTTGTTTTAAGCCGTATATGGATTTCTTGAACTTGCAGACCAAATGCTCACCATCATTTGAGGGCAATCCTTCAAGTTGTTTCATGTAAACCCCATCCTCTAGATCTCCATTGAGAAATGTCATTTTCACATCCATTTGTCGCAATTCTAAGTGAAAATGGACGACTAATGCCAAAATGATGCGCAAGGAATCTTTCTTAGATACAGAAAAGAAGGTCTCCGTGTAATCGATTCCTTCTTTTTTAGTGAATCCCTTAGCAACGACTCTCGCCTTATATCTCTCAATGTTGCCCAATAAGTCTTTCTTTGTCTTAAAGACCCATTTGTATCCAATGGCTCTTGGACCATCAGACAACTTAACAAGACTCTATACTTCGTTATTCTTTATAGAATTCATCTCTTCCTTCATGCATTGTACCATAATTCCGATTCTTTGCAACTCATGGCTTATGGAAAAAGACTCAGGATCATTTACGACTCCAATGTTGTAGTTAGATTCTTGTAGATATACAACATTATCACTAGGAATTGCTGATCTTTTTGTTCTCATAGATCTTCTTAATGTCATTCCATTATCTTCCTGAGAAGAACATGATTCAACAAGTTGTTCAAAAGTCCTTGGCAACTCTTGAATTACCTGATCTACTGGGATGTTGTCAACAACTTGTAGAACTTCAACGATTGGTTGTTCAATACCAGTTTGTACTTGAGGGGTGCTGTGAACAATAACTAATCTATTGCTTGAGGTGGAAGGTTGAGATCCTGAATGATCATTTTTAGAAACTATGTTCCTGATTTAATTGCTCCCACTGATCAAGTCATTCTCAAGAAATTTCACATTTCTTGACTCTACAATCCTAGTGCTGTGAAATGGACAATAGAATATGTACCCTTTTGACCTTTTGACATATCCAATTAAATACCCACTAATAGTCATTGGGCCTAGTTTCTTCTCTTGTGGATTATTAAATCTTACTTTAGACGGACATCCCCAAATGCGCATATATTGCAAACTTGATTTCCAACTTTTCCATAATTCAAATGGTGTCTTTGGGACAACCTTAGTTGGAACTCGGTTTAATATATACACAGCCGTCTTATGTGCTTCAGTCCACAAGGATCTTGGAAGATTGGAGCTACTAAACATGCTTCGCACCATGTCCAATAATGTTCTATTTCTTCTTTCTGCTACATTATTCTAGTCTGGTAAACCAGGCATGGTATATTGGCAAACTATCCCATTCTCTTAAAGAAACTTTGCAAACGGACCATGTGCTTGTCCATCTTTTGTGTATCTACCATAATATTCTCCACTTCTATCTGATTTCACAATCTTAATCTGCTTTCCGCATTGCTTCTCTACTTCAACCTTAAAAATCTTAAAGGCATCCAATGCTTCATTCTTGTTATGAAGCAAGAAGAGATACATGTATCGTGAGTAGTCATCTATAAAAGAGATAAAGTATTTCTAACCACGTGAATCCATATCTGGACTACATATATCAGTATGTATAATCTCTAATATGTTCGAACTCCTGTTGGCACTTTTCTTTGACGTGTTGGTCTACTTTCCCTTAATGTAGTCCACACAAGTTTCAAAATCAATAAAATCAAGAGCATTAAATACCCCATCATTTACTAATCTCTTAATCCGCTCTATGGAGATATGTTCCAATCTCTGATGCCATACTTTAGAGGAATCTTCATTCAAAACACATCGTTTAATACTAGTGTGAGCATGCATAGTATTATAATTGGTGTTATTTTGCAAATTTAAAGAGAAAATATCCATCAGACAATGTACCATTCCCAACAAGATTAGATTATAAAATAAATTGAAAGTTGATTCTAAAAAATTAAAGGAATAACCCAAAGGTACAAGTCTTGAAACTGAAATCAAATTTTTAGAGAAACTTGGAATATAAAATGTCTTTTCCAAATCTAAAATAAAACCACTACTTAAAGTTAAACTATATGTTCTAACAGACTACACACGTGAACACATCTTGTTTCTTGAATAGATGCCTTGCTTACTTCCCACTAGCTTCCTTAGGTTTTGCATACCCTAAAGGTATTCGAAATATGGTTGTAGAACCAGTATCAATCCACCATGTGTTATACATAATATTAACCATAT